CACCTTGGCCATGCAGCTGTGCTTAGTTATGGTCAAGCTAATGTCAAATGCAAGTTCCCAAATGCAGGTTGTAACCAAGTCACCAACGCAAATTTGTGTACATTTTGCATGTCTAACAAGTTCCCAGGTGGTACTGATGCTGCTGGTTGTGACCACACTTTATAAGGTAAAGTGTGGGTAGCTTATAAGGTTTAGAGTAGTAGTCTTCCCAGAGAATAAATCTCAAAGAAATGGCTCTGTGACAGTATGATTTCTGGCATCAGGACCAGGTGTGGAGATGCACGGCTGGGAGAGTGGGAAGGGTAGGAATAGCTTTGTGTTGGGTGAGGTCTCTTCTTATCATGTTCCATCCCTGACTTGGAATTTCACCCCCAAAATACTTTGCTTTCTCAGTTTCAGTCAGGAGGCTGGGAGCTTGCCCTTATTTAGTAGGAAGCCATACAGTTCTCTTAAGCAAAGCCCTACTCTTTTGGCTCGACCATATTGTCCAACTAAAATGCTTCTCGGACTCATTCCTGTTTTAAAATATTATCTCTTAGCAAATTGAAGCACCTTTGTTGGCCTGATGTCCCCAACCCTGCTGAAAGCAGTATTGCCACATGGCATGGAAATGATTTCAAGGTAAACACTCCTGTTTTCATAAAGGAAATTGTTGAGCAGGCCGGTTATGGGAGCAGTGCTGGGCCGAGCTTTGTACAGGGTTCACATATAGAGAGCTCGGCAGTAAAAACTCCCAGGAATGGCAGGGTGATGGAATCAGCCTTCTTCGAATGACTTTGACCTCATTCTTTTGACCAGAGGAAAGGGCTTCACCAGGTTCACAAGGACCCAATGTGTTCTGGGCATGGATCTGGTCCTATAAAGGATGGTATGGAAGAAAGACACTGGTCCTACCCTTAAGCACCTGACTGTCTGATTAGAGAGCCCAACTGTAAGATTTGCAGCAATTTAAAAACAGCCAAGAGCCAGTTAATCTAGAGACCACTTGGATACCTGGAGGGCACACTGATGTGCGTGGGTGTCCGAAGGCTGGGGAAGGCTGCCTCAAATTGTTTGTTTCAGACTGGGGACATTATAATCAAAGCTGACTGGCAATGGGGTTTTCTAGTGAACTAATCATAAGTAGAAATCCTCCTTTTTCATAAGTTTTTAAATTGAAAACTTCTGAAAATTTTAAGGTTTAATTTATTGCTTAAGTGGAAATAACCCCAGTCAAATATATCCTTGAAATCCTTATTACTTAAAGACTGTTTTCAGTATTTCTTGATGCAGGAATTTTTAATATAAACCCTATTTTAACTCAGAAGTCTCTTTTTGACATAGATATTTTTATTATTTTTATTGCTTTTAATTTTTCTTATTTTTGTGATTTTGATTTCTATTTTCTTCTCTTTTTTATTAGTCTTGTATTACCCTATTTACTTTCCTACTTCATTAAAAGTTATTAAGAGAATAAATTAATTCACAGGCAGTATTATCTGATGTCTAAAATGCTTTTTGAATAATCTGTAGGTATGCCCTCTACAGCGAGCACTTATTAATCATTCAGTGTATGTCAGGCACTGAGCTAGGCTCTGACGGTGTAAAGATGACAGAGATGACACTGCCTCTGCCAGAGGGCAACCTTTGATTTTCTGGTGATGTTGGGCAAGTCATTTATCGTAAGAGTTCTCATTTGGATGCTTCCCTCTCAACTGGGGTTATATGAGCATACGATTGTATAAAAAATAGCCTTGAGCACTCTAAAAGAAGAAATTATCTGAAATTGTTTCTTTCTCAAGAAACCTGCCACTCTTGCCAAGCTTCTATCGAGGGCGTGTAGAGGCGAATTGGCCACCACTTCTGGTCTCTGGGAGGAATATGGGGGACTTATCAACAGGTGGGGTATTGGGTGTCCCAAGCCCAGTGAGCTTTTGGTTACATCATATGTAGCCCCCAAATGACCATTGGGGGTTTCCCTTTCTCTCTTCCAGGATAAGCTAAATCTGAATGGAATTGATGACTCTCTGAACATGGAAGGAGACAGGATTCTAAAACCATGTTCTGCCCCCAGAGACCTTATTGACAAGTTGGTGGTGAACTTTGAGAATTTTCTGGAAGAGGTTTCCACAGAGGAATCTGGAAAGTGTCAGGAAAACATTCTGGGAGGGGAAAAGAATGAGTACGTGACTTCCCCCTACAGGCCTTATTGTTCTCTCGGGAAGACTTTCACAGAGCCTCCCATTTCAACCGAGGCTCTCCCCCAAAAACCCCAGTACCTGTGCTCTGGAATGCCAGAGGAGGTCTGCTCAGAAGCTGGAGAGCAACCTCTCTCTTCTGCTCAAAGTTTGGGGCCTGACCACCTCTGTGAGGACGGCACACCAAACCCTTATCTGAAAAATTCGCTGGCAACCAGAGAATTTCTCATGTCTGAACAACTTCCAGACCAAACCAAGTGAGAAGTCTAGATGCCACCATGGCTTGCGTCCTCTGCATCTCGGTATGCGTGACTCCTGCAAGGAGCATGACAGTACAGCTTGGCCAGAAGAGCTTCCTTTGTCATCTCCCCATCCTGCTTGCATTAGAGAAAGTCACGCCTGCCTTGAACGGCTGGTTGGGCTAGGTTAGCACAGACATGTGACTTAGCTGTGAAGAAAAGATGGTGATTGATAAGCCTGAGTGCTTTGCATAGGAAACGCAAAGTGTTTTGTTTAGATAATAAGCTCTCGAGGCCTCTGACAGATGGACTTGGAGGGACAGTGGACCCCCGAAGTGGGAGTATCTGACCTTCCCTATGATTTGAGTCATGGTCACAGCCTTTGCTGGGGCTGCTCCTCAGAGTTCCAGGAGACACTTTTCCCATTGCCAGAGGACAGTTGTTTAGGTGGCACTCGGGTGGTCTGATAGGAGGGGAGAGCCTCTCTCTCTTCACCTTGGCCTCCCCTGGGCTCTGGGCTCCCCATCTGAGTTAGCCCTGAAATCTTACTTTTAAGATCGTTTCTTCTTCAACATAGGATTGATAGTGTACCTGAGGCTCAGTGTTCCTGCCGTCATTAAATCTCAAGTGTCTGTGGCTGCACCCCAACCTAGGACTCTTGTCCTGAGTCCACAGCACATTGGCTGCTGGTCGAGCAAGGACTGAGAGAAGCCTCAGCAGGGCACTGGGGGAAGGGCTGTAAACTGGGCCAGCAGGTCTGCCCCACTGTCCAGGCCATTGCCCAGCGCTGGAGTAGTTCCTGGAGGTCCTGTCTGCCCTTCCATCTTGCACCCAAGCCTGGGAGTAGAAAGGCACCAAATGTAGCAGTGGCTTTTGTACTTGTACCTCGTGCTGACTCAGAGCCCAGTAATGCTTACTGAACACACCCTTCAGAGGCTCTGCCCAGAAGCAGCTGAGCAGTGCCTGGGAACATGCAATGTGTAGCAACTTTGCTGCTCCAACACCAGGATTCCTCTGCCTTAGCCACAGCCGAGCACGGAGCTGAGAATCAGTGGAGCCTTTAGCCTAAGTGCTGATGGAAGGGTTCATTTGCTGAGACCCAGGAACTTATGACTGGCACTAGGCTGGTACCCTGACCACAGTGCTGTCTGATGACTTCCTAACGTGCGGCTGTGACTCATCTGGCCATTAGGGGGAGGTCGCTGAGAGCCTGGTGAGATGGGGAGAGGCTAGGTAATAAGTGATCAGCTGAGGTGCATTGAATTAGGTGTTTGCCAGCCAAAGAGGCTGATGGTATTTTTTTCTAGGAGAGTTTGAGAAGTCAGTACTTGGGTAGCAGGCATAAACTTCATAGGCCACCAGCTCAGCAAAAACATTGCTTTAACTTTCCTATAACTAAAAATTCTAGTCCAGGCTCCTGGCGCTTTGAAGTAACTGCAGCCCAATTTGGTGATTCCTGTGTCGCTTTAGGTTTGTAACTGAGTCACATTTGGGATTTTGAGCCCGCCCCCCCTCCCCACCCCCTTTCTGCTCTGGGACTGATCTGAGCGACAGAGAATGCTCATGGAGCAGCAGGGTTTTGTCCCTCATTTGGTGTCTGCCCAGTGCTGGTCTCTGGATGTGTCTGTGTCCCTACCTATACCTGTTGGGCCACTGGCCATTTTTCCTCAGCCGTTTGCTGCATCCTGACCATGGGGACAAGCAGGTGGGGCTGATCTCCTCTCTGAAAGCTCTCTCATTAAATCACAAGTGTCTGCAGCATTGAATTAGGTGCATTGAATTAGGTGTTTGCCAGCTGATCACTTATTACCTGCCTCTGAATTCTTCACTCCTAGTTTATACAATGGTGACTACTGGAAAATCAGGGAGGCCTGGGGCAGGGCACTGGGGAGCTGCCCCTTTGCCCTGGGAGTAGAAAGGGACCAAACAGAAGGTGTACACTGGTTCTTGGCTGTGGTGGGCTCTCTGCCCTGATACCTACCCCTACTGTTGTGAGTTGGGCACCTCTACGAGCCCCTTGTCCCCCAGAGACCCAAGTGGGTACTTTCCACTCCTGCCTTTGGATTTGTGAAATAGGGAGGCTCTAGCCTTGTGCTCGCTCTGTTCTTTCTTTTCTGTGCCCCTCTGCCTACCTCCAGCTGAGGGGTCCTCTCAAATTCTATATGAGCTGGATGGGGAGGAGGGTGCCTTGGAACAAGTCCTCCCAGTCTTGTCTGTCTCACAGCTGGGTAGGCTTTTGAAGCTGAAATCCAAGCAATGATGGCTGGGTAGAGAGCAGGGGTCCCAGATGCTCCTGTGAGTGGCTTTCAGAGATGAAGCTGTTACGCCTTGCCCTCCGTCCCTTAATTTTTCATCGAAGCTTTGCCGCACCTTCTGAAGGATGGTTTGCGAACGCCACACTCCTGGCGCTTCTCGTTTCATTTCTTCTTCCCCTTTCTCGCTTTCCTTCTTGCCTCCTGTCTTCTGCTTTTTTCCTACCACACCCGGCAGCTTCTCATCTTTTTAACTCTTTCTTTCTTTTCATTTATTTTTCCTCCTTCCTTTCAGCCTCCTTTGATCATTTTCCATATCTGCTTTGCTACCTTTGAGGGCTAGGAAGTTAGGGCTCTGTTTTGCTCTAGATGGATAACCAGAGGTAGCTTCATAGGAGTCAGCATTTCCTGCCAGTAAAAGGAGCTGTTTTCCCAGGAACCCCAGAAAGTCATTCAGCGGCCACATACTGCTGTGTAGAGCAGATTCACAGGATACAGGCCTAAAAGCTCAGAAGCCACTGGTGACCTTCCTCTCCTATAATCACAAACTGTCCCCATTCCCAGCATCCTGGGTTGCTGGAGAAGGCCATCTGCATATTCTCTGTTACTATCAAAGAGGTGTTGAGGGGACACAAACAGGAAAACTTGTGTTTTAGCAAGGTCATTGAAGACTGACGAAATTCCACTAATTGCTTTCTGGGGCCTGGGAACCATGCAAACAGCTGCATTGGTGCCTCGATAACGGGCTTTCTTTTACAATAACACCAGAAAAATTTAACAGATAGCAGAGAATCCAGTCTGTCGTTTTAAAAAAAATAAATAAAAAAAGGTGATTCCCTCATTCTGTTTTCTCAGGAGATAGCAGTAAAAAAGTAAAAACACTGCAAGGGCCTTTTGAAGGAGGCTCAGGAGTTGAGGGGAGGCAAGAAAGAACAGGTTCCAGCGTGGATCCTGGAGACCTCTACTGCTGCTCCCCTGTGTCAGTCTGCCACCACCTCAAGGGGTTCCGTCCCCCTTTCCAGCATGTCCCTATGTACTACTGTGCTGCAGGCATGCTCCAGTCCAGGGTTTGGCGAATTGGCCCTCAAGCTAAATCTGGGCCCTAGTTTTGTAGAGCCCATGAGCCAAAAACAATGTTGACTTTTTATAGGCTGGAAAACAAAATCAAAAGAACAGTGTTTAAAGACATGTGAAAATTCTATGGAATTAAAATTTCGGTGTCCATAACTGAGGCTTAATTGGAACACAGCCCATCATTTACACATCATCTGTGGTTGCTGTCCCCGACAAAGACAGAACTGAGTAGTGTGACAGTTTCTCCCACAAAGCCATAAAAGGTTTGCCATCTGGCCCTTTATAAAAAAAAGTTTGCTGACCCCTGTAGCCCACAGACACGAGGCTCTTCCTGCACTGGACTGGTCCACAAAGTGTTTTAACTTTGAATTAGCTGCTAATTTTTTTAAAAATCAGGCTATGTCATTCTGGATTTCTAACTGAATAGAGACCTCCCCCTTTAGAAGGGCACACATTCTAGCTCCCCTCGCCCTCACAATTTCCTGTCCCCTGCTATAGCTGAGGTGGAGAGTTAGTGGCTCTTCACACTTATACCGGTGGTTCTTGCCCAGTGATTTGACCCCCAACCTCCAGCCGTCAGGCATTTGACAATACCCAGAGGTATTCTGCAAGGGTGAGGTGGGCATCCAGTGGGTAGAAGCCAGCGGTGCTGATAATCAGCCTACAATGTGCAGAACAGCCCCCCAAACAAAGAATTATCTGGCCCAAAATGTTAATAGTGCTGAGGTTGAGAAATCCCGGCTGAGGTAACCTCTGTCCTGGACCCATAGCACATGCCGTGGGTGACTCAGCAACCATCAATGGATAACTCTAGGCCCCTCTCTCTCTCTCTCTTTTTTTCTTTTTTTTTTGGTAAATTTAAAATTTATTTTGGACTCAACTTTGCAACAACAAAACCTTCTAAAAATAGCAAAACCTTCTAAAAATGCTATTCTTAATTCATTCCTGATATGATCTTGTGTACCTATATACATTTTCATGTAATTACAAATTATGTGTTGATTCCATTGTGTTTCACTTATTTCACATATAAAATCTCATAAATGAACATAATTCATAGTGGTAGCATTTTGAATGGCCACTCAGAGCTCCATGGGGTGCCTGCATATGGTGGTTTGCTGAGGTACCTTTAGTTCATAGGATTGTTTTAAATCTCCTCTTCGTATAGAGAGCAACTTCCATAAACATTTTTGTACAAAATTTTCTTTATCCCCTTTTGTCTAATTCCTTGGGGCTGTTTCCAAAGGTGGGGTTTCTAGTTCAAAGTTTTATGATTATCACTTATTGCATAACTGTGCATCCCAAAAGGCTCCGCTGGTTTGCAGTATCAACAGAGATGTCTGGGACGTCCTTTGTCCCTTTCCTGATAATCAGCTGTTTACTGCTGTAGCTGGATTTTGTCAATTTATTGAAAGTAATGAAACGTCAGAGTTATCTGTGTTGCTTAAATCATTGTGAAGCTAAACTTTTCCCTTCTGTATTTTACTATCTGCATGTCTGCCTGTTGACATTACAGAATCTTCTACCTCTCATTGAGGGACCAGCTGAGCTGCTAGACATTAGAGGCACTTAGCAGGCCTTTAGAACAATCAGTGGACTTAAGCCATTTGGTTGACTGTTTAAAATATGTGAGTTTTGCAGGGTATTTTAAAAGAGGAATTTTACACTGATGTATTTTAATAGTTTTACGTAAATC